AATGACCAACATCACAATTTATACCGTAGGTGGTCTAGAGTGCGGGCGACTCTTAAGCCGTGACCCTAGGTTCACATGTCAGGGTCACACGTCGCAACAGTTGAACAAAATGAGATTTCATCCCTTAATTCATTCATCACTCTTATCTACCTCTTCCCTTCCTCATTTATTTCGGATTGGCAGCATTCAAGGCTTAGAGATCAGTTCCTTGGAAGCATTTAAGAGCCTCTAAGCTAAGAGATTCAAATATAGGATTAAAGCTTCAAGATCTCCTCTTCATTTTAGGGTTTGGCTTGGTTTTCTAGATTTTGTCTAAAAACCTAGCAAGTAAGTTTAATATGATTTGTAAAGATTAGATACATAATGCTTACTTTGTTTATATTTCTAGCTTTACTTCAAGTATTAATTCATTATTTTATGATTTCGTTGTAAAATCTCATCTGAATACACTTTGTACAATCGATGGGAATCCTATGGAGGTTATACATCTACCCATGTTCCATGTTTAAACTTCGTTTGAAAGAAGTTACATGAGGATCTGCTTAAAGTATTGAGGTCCTTATGTAGCTTTAATATATGACATTGTTGACCTAGTTTAGGGTCATTGTAAATGACGATTTTATGAAATTTGATGAGTATGTTGGACCACTAGTCTTTCATTTAAGTTCCAATGTGTATCCTTATTTGAATCATATGAATATTCTCTACTTGTCATTTTATGTTTGGATGATCTCTTTAAGTAGGCATTAGGAGGGTTGTGTCTTGAGCTGCTACCTTGGAGGTAGGCACTAAGAACTCTGCTGCTTGAGGTGTTACCATAGAGGTAGACACTAAGTGTGTCGAGCCTTATGATTTTACCCGTGAGGATAGACACCAAGGTCAACGACCTCTTGAGGTGAAAACTTGCTAAGAGGACCCGACTCGTTTATTCAAAAGAATGTTATAAATGATTTTAGATAATCAAATGCAACTGCTTACTTCATGTTCATGCTCATTAGGCTTTTTGGCCTAATACTTATTTGTGTCGCCATGTATCTTAGGCTCTAGTGGCGAGATCACTAAGTAGGCTTGACCGACCCTTGTAGAGAGTGTTTTGGGGAGCATTTTGGGACGCCATACATTATTAAAGTCTTTTGATGGTTTGGGTAATACTCGATTATAATCTAGTTCTTTAATGATTAGATTAAAATGTTGTTAGCATCAAACCGATTTATTTACAATTGTATTTAACTGGTGTATATTGTTCCCTGTTGGGTAAAGCTAATATCTTGATATTCTATACCATATTTCTGGTTTATTTACTGAACTTTCTGTTGTTTCAATTTTGGGGTGTTACAATTAACACGAACGATTTTGGATGGCATCCTTGTGCTCCAAGCCCATAGACTCCATGGCGTTCTTTTATCAAACAATTTTTGATCATCAATTTCATAACTAGCCCATCTTGGTGCGTATCATACAATTCACTAATCTCTCTCTCTCTCTCTCTCTCTCTCTATATATATATATATATATATATATATAAAGCAGAAACATACAATATTGACGTGACATCTCCTCGTATCAGTATTCATCCCTTCATTTTTCCCTTTTATTTTAGGTTTTATATTTAATCTAAAGCTTTTACTCTTCATCTTCTACCATTATAATTCCTTCTTTTCTACATCTCTTTACCATAAACTTCTTTACTCTTCATCTTCTACCGTTATAATGCCTTCTCTTCTACATCTCTCTATCATAAAATTATTTGCTCTTCTCCATCTCTCGATCCCAATAGGAAATTATGGATTGACAATATATCTGGTGGTACGCCTCTCTCTATCTTTCTATGCATTTATAGAAGGATATGAAACAATAATGTGACAATATATCTGGTGGTACGCCTCTCTCTATCTTTCTATGCATKTATAGAAGGATATGAAACAATAATTATGGGTTTTTTTACTTGTATTTTCTTGGTCTCTCTATCTACTCTGTTGTCTGCGATGAAAAGTCTATGGCAAAATCAGTTGCTAATGTGTTTTCTTCTCTGAAGTTTCGATAAAACCAATTAGATGCCCCAATATCTTCATGAGACTGGATACAGATATACACCTAATAATATACTGAGTTGACATATGTTATTTATATATTATATTTTTATTTTTCACAAGCAATATATTACACCTCTCTTTATTCTTATAATAAGACAATGAAAAGCAAAAAATTAGTTCTATATCTATAGAATATATTCTAACTGTCCACCATGGCCATTTGATCTTGAGGTGGAGCTCAAGGAGTTTTCTAGACCGGCCATTGGGTCTTGATGTAGAACTCGTTAAGTCGTCTACCTCGGCTGCTAATCTAAAGGGAAGCTCAATAACATTGTTAAATGACTTACTTTTGTGTTCCGCCATATAGAATAGAGATGACTCTCTCCGTCATTGACAAATTTCATCCTAAATTTTAAAAACATATTGCTTAAATGGAAGCGATTATTTAAAGAGCATTACTTTAACTTTACCATTCAGTAATTGGGATATAAACTGCTTGAGCTAGGTGTGCTCAAAATACCGGCCAACCCGACCAACCCAAAAAAGAAACTCAACCTAAGCTAGCGCGACACATAGTTGATACAAATTAGACCAATCCGCATCTATTAGGTTGAAATTAGGTCAGGATTTTTTGAACCCAATCTAATCCGATGCACTTCTAAATTAATGATTTATAAATACTGATAAATATTAATATTAATATTTTATATTTATGTGGTATTTTCAAAATCTAGGGGTGCTATAAAAATGGTTCAAGTGAATGGTTTCTCCTTAAAGGATGATGTGACTAATGTTTAAGTTTTATCACTCGTTTTCTTGTCACTTTACAACCAAGTTGATCATAAAAATAACTAAGTTTTAAAAATGGTATGAAAACAATGTCTTGGGAACTACAATTTGTGTATGGATTATTTAATTAATAATTAATAATTAATAATTAATAATTAATAAAATTGGTGTGAATGAGAAGTGAATGGTTGGATAACAACATTGAATTCAAAGTCTTCGTTTGTTACATTTATAATTTTATTATATGATAAGGTATTTAATTGACTCTTAAATTTAAATTTTCATTTTGAAATGAAAAACACGAAATAAGGATTATTGATATATTTGGTTTGTCTAAGAGATTTAATGCAAATTCATATATAACAGAGGATCAATTTTATAGTTTATTTAAAGTTGAACACGTGTTGTATTTATAAGAATACAATTTACAAATTTCTACCCATATATTTTAATTTGATAAATGTTTTGTTATTTGATTATATATTTAAAAAAACTTATTTATTAATTTTATGTTGTTGTAATATTCAACATATAATATAGTATAAAATATTTTGTCAATGTTTTAAAAAACAATTGTTCAAACATTCAATACCGTTAAGTAATATATATATATATATAGAGAGAGAGAGAGAGAGAGAGAGAGTTTGTTTCAAATACAACCTGTTGTATTTGTACAACCAATACAACCCAATAAATTGAGATATTTATGGAAATGGTGAGACTTAATTTATTATGATTTGAATATTTATGGAAGATAAATATGTTTTATTAATTATAATCAATACTCTATATTGGGAAACAATCAAAACTTCTATAAAATCACATATTAATCAAATGAAATAGACGGTTGAGATTGGGCTGTATTGGTTGCACAAATGTCAGGGGTTGTATAATAACCAATCTCTCTCTCTCTCTCTCTCTCTCTATATATATATATATATATGTATGTATATATATATATATGTATGTATGTATATATATATATATATATATATGTATGTATGAAAAGGTTCATTTGAAAAGTAAAGAAGTAATTATAACCCTTCATTTGGTCAATATTTATGGCTTTAATCGTGAAGCACGAGATAAGTTTTTAAACATCATAAATGCTAACTAATAATCAATAATGAACACGTTCAGATACAAAATAATCATTGTATTAAAATGGCATACTATTCTATTAGGGTTGGGTTCTAATGAAAAAGAAAATTATTATTAGAAGCGTAAGAAGAGATCTCCATCATTGAATTAAATTATAATTGAATGTCAATACTTATGAGGTGCATCAGATCAATTCGTTTTTAAAACAAAATTCGTGGGTGGACATAAGATTAAAAGTAACCAAAAGTTCAGATATTTTCTTATACTTCTTACTATAACTTTCTTTTTTCACACAATCTTTTGCCTATTCTATTATATCTTTCCCACGATCCTTTGTCTAACCTATTATATCTTTATCAACCAAAAAGTTTCCATTATTATAACTAAAATAATATATTTCTATTTTTAAGTCTAAACATCTGATTTTTTTATAAATAAATTCTTAATTATGACTGAGGGGCCATTTACTAAATGCTTATTTGGTAAGTACTTACCGGATAAATTTCCGTATCGGATAAACATGACAAGAGTCAAGAATCTTATCGGGTAAGAGCAATGAGAATGATGGAGAGTCTTACTCGGTAAGTGAAAAATATTACAACGCTTACCCGATAAATTGTTGCATTCAACATGTTTTGATGTACTAAAATCTTACACATCAAAATAAATAATAATGTTGACTTCTATAGTTAAACACTGACCGGGTAAGCATTTAGGTAAACAACTCGAATCACATAAAAACACATTAAAATTAATGAATAATTATAAACATACTTACCATAAGAACTGAGATGATTAAAATTATATATCTGTAAATTTATTTAAATTATTATTTTGAACATAATTATGAGGTTGGATTTTTAGTTTTGGAAATCTAAAAAGGGTAAAAATGTGATAATTGTGGAAAGTTGAAGGGTTTATTCATAAATAGAAAACAATTAAGGCGGGAGAAGGGAATCAAGTTGGTTAAGAACACTGTTTAATCAAATCCTAAAGCCTTATAAAATCCCAATTGCCAAATCAAGAACAAACCCACAATCCACAAATCAAAATTCAATTTTGCAGAAAACGGAAATTCTTGTAAATCTCATCTCCCTTTGCATTTTTCTCTACGTTTTCCTTGTAATCATTGCTCCATTGTGGTTGTTGTGTTGATTAATGGCGGATCTATACGGAACCAACAACGATCGTTCTTTTTCTTCATCTTCTTCACTTGAATCAGAAGATATGTCTTTTTTCCTCCAAAGCTTTCTCAACAATTCGTCAACTAAGGGCAAGTATGGACGATTGTTCCCTTCGCCTCCCCCGATTTCCACTGATTTTGTAGATTCTGACCAACGGTTCTCTGATCTCAGCTCTTTTTATGGAACGGAGACGAATCAGGTTAATTTTCCGCCGCGACACGATGTGGCTGGCTTTGATTTAGGATGCGAGGTACGGTTTTTCGTTTTTGCTAGTAATTGGTGGAGAATTGTTTGGTTATGGTACTGACTGATGATTGAATACTGAAATTAAAAAGGATAAACTTCAAATTTTTAGCTGCTTCCAATTTTATGCATTTTGTATGTGCATAAAATAACTCTTACTTATAGTTTGAATGTATGTGGATTGTGATGATTTGTGATCTACTGTTTGCGTTTCGACATGAAGATTAGGGTTTTTCTTTTATGTTCTTTCTCTTGTGGTTTGCTTTCTTTGTGGGCGTTCCCGTATATTTCTCATGGATACCAAACTGGGACTTGAAGGTACAAAAGCAGTCGGAGGGGCGTCAAAATTCAAACCCTCCACGTTCCTCAAAGAGGGCAAGAGCAGCGGAGATTCATAATTTGTCTGAGAAGGTCTGTCTTTAATTATGACATGGTTAGCAGCTTCAATTCGATTTTTGAACTACTCCCTTGAAACATTAAAATACTTTTGTCAGAGGAGGAGGAGTAGAATTAACGAGAAGTTGAAAGCATTGCAGACTTTGGTTCCAAATTCTAACAAGGTATGAAGGCTTTAATTAACATGTATCAATTGATCCCTTTACACATTTCCTCAAAGATTTATCACAAATTGAAGAAAGAGAGGAAGGAAATAGGTACCCTTTAGTCATGAACATGCCTTAAGTTTTGTTTTTAATTCTTTGAACTTGCTATGTTCTTTTGTACCATAGACTGATAAGGCATCAATGCTGGATGAGGCCATTGAATATCTGAAGCAACTCCAACTGAAAGTACAGGTATATTTTTTCCTCTTGATGAGGTTTATCTTGCATGTGTAGTCTGTTGATCTTTTGAGCTTTCTGTTTTGCAAAATAGAACTCATTATCTGTTTAGTTTGTTTGGAATCAAAGCGTTAGTATACCATCTCATAATTCTACATCTATTTTGAAATCTTTCAACAATGTTTGGCAAGGTGGGAACATACAGTGTCCAGTTCCACTGCTTCTTATTGGATTTTTTTATGCATTCCGTAACTGTGATACCGTGAAACTTTGTCTGTGTGCTACCATATTTCTTAAAAGTACAAGGAGTTTAGCTGAAAGTGAATAAAACTATAGGGGGGGGGGGGATCACTTTTTTATATAACTGTATTTTCTGTTTTTATCTAATATTATGCTAATTATATGGTGTCAAGTCTTGAAAGTTTTTATGGGTCTTCCTCTGTTCAAGTATGTTGGTGGGAGGAAATTTATGAAACAAACAAGAGCCATAAAAACCATATAGCTCATTTAAACAGATGACAAGTGATGATGTTTTATGGTTACTTAAATCCTGATTTTGAATGCTGTCAAATAACTGTTTGATTAATTTCTGCTTCCATTGGAGAGTACACCTCAAGTGAATGGACTTATGCCTATCCTACTATAATGCTTGGACAATTCCATGGGATACTAGTACTAATGATATGCTTACAACTAGTCTGCAAAAAGTAAGAAATTGTTTCCAGCAAATTGACACTTCCGACCTTGTTGATGATGAATCTTGGAACATTTGGTAAACCATTTCAATATGTCCAAATAACTGAAAGTATGTCGATATAGTTGTAGCCATTTTAATGCAATAGGAGAGTGATAGGTGATTGCTGATTTTGGGTGGGTTTATTTTTTCCAATCATTTGGTAGGATATACTGTTGATTAGTTTATGATTGCAGACACTTACCATGAGAAATGGGTTGGGGTTGCAACAGCCTATATACTCGCAACAAGAGGAAATGGAAATGGAAATGGGGGCAAATCCTTCACAAGGGGGATTCTCAATTGATATAGGCAATGGACATATGCCGTCGTTATCCCACATGATGAAACAAGATAATGTTTTTGGATCACAAGTGAATCAATATCATCATGTATTTACCAATCACTCGACATCTATCAAGGTAAACCAACTTTAAATTTGATGTGACTGATATATATATATATATATATATGTATGTATATATATCTCTTTATATATATATATATATATATATATATATATATATGAAAAGTTTGATTTGAGAAGTGGTAAGTATTTGAGAAGTAAAGAAGTGATCCTAGCCATTCGTCGATCAACATTTGCGGCTTGGACTATGAAGAACCAGATAATTCCTCACATGTTTATGCGGAAGATAGATGAGTAGTTTCGTAAATTTTATAAATAGGCGGCAAACGGATATGTAAACCCGTGTGATTCACATATGAACTATATGTGAACCAATTAACGGATATGAACATATAGTTTATATGTGAATCATAAGGGTTCATATATGAATCAGTTAATTAGTTCATATATGAATCAATTAATTAGTTCATATACAGATCATACAGGTTGATATGTGAATAAGTTAAAATAGTTCATATGTGAATTACACTGTGAACCCGTTTGCCATCTATTTGTAAAAGTTACGAAACCACTCCCTCTTTTTTTCTCATAGCTGCAAATTTTGACTAGTTAAAGCCCTAATTATTGACCATATGAAGAGCTACGATCACTTTTTTAGTTCTCAAATATTACCACTTTGCAAAATAACCTATGGCTATATGTATATATATTAGATGAAAATCTTATAAAATTTTGGTGTGTATCAGGAGATTGGGTGTCTGAATGGAAAAATTCCTTCACCTGGTGTGTCGTAGCATGTAGATTGGAGGAGTATATACATATATATAAAATATATATATTGTGAGAAGATTAGCAGGTGTTGGAATCTGAAGATGAGACCTTTCTTAGTATAATAATAATAATAATAAATTAATAATAATTATTATTATATTATTAATTAAAACCTCCAATCTGAACATAAGCTGTAATAGAGACAAGAATTAATTAATGTTTGGATATTGAATGTTGATGTAGTTGGATGGATTAATTGTGTGTTGGAATTGAATAGATAATATGAAATGTAAGCCTAATCAAAAACAAAACCCCCATCCCTACCTCAATTCCTCCTTTTATTTTTCTTCTTGTTTAAATAGTTATTATTTTTTAAATATTTTGGTCTTATAAATTAAAATAAATATTAAAAATACACATTTCAATAGTTGACTGTAACAAAATATTCAAAAATAAATATTAAAGTTTTTGGGTTGCTTGTATTTCAAATCGTGTCCAATATTTTTTCTTTTATGTCAACAAACAGTTTCACTAGTGTTTTTTCGTTGTTTTATATTATCAATTCAATGATGATCCGTGAATAAATGCATGGTTCTATGGTATGGATAGGGCCAAAACTTTTGTGATTCGAGTACAAAAAGAATATATCGCTAAAAGAAACATAAAACTTCTAAAGTATGATATTTTTTTTTAAAGACAGTCAAATTTTATTAAGTAAAAAAGTTAGAAATGATGCATATCAAGCACGTGAGGTGTAGACACCAAACTAAGTAAAACAAAAGTAAATGAAATGTTACAAAACTAAGACATCAGAAGTTGAATTGAACCCGACACATAAAAATGTAACCTAGTGGGAATTATGAGATGGGAGTGAGGTGTTGCGGCCTCTTCATCCACCGCTCCCATTTTAGAGACTCCATACAATATCTTATCGAGATCCATTCCACGACTTGAACTCTTATTTCCGTAAATAAGGCCTCCTAATATAACAACTTTTCTCAACAACCGTGTTATTTTGGTGATGCCAAACTAAATAAAGAGTAGCGAACGGATGCTTGCCAGATCCTTTGAAGCCAAGGAGAAAGCGAGCGAGCACCTGGATGGTTCACAATACCAACCACCATATTTCCATGTTGTTGTCAACAGGCCCTCATTTCCTAAATAGTTCCCAAATTTCTGAGGCGAACTTGTATCTCATGAGACAACGGTTCACCATTTCCTTTGTTTTGTTACAAACTGGACAGAAAACCGAGTGCAAATTTATGCCACAATCACTCATAGAAGTCGAGACAGGAAGTCGATCAAGTAGAACCCACCAAACAAAGATATTGATTTTTAGAGGGAGAAGGTTATTACAAGGGGTATAAATGAGACGAGTCGAGTTGAATAGTAGGTTAATTGAGCAGAGCTTAAAAACTAATACTCAACTCGAGCTAGATTAACTTTTTTAATATAGGGCTCAAGCTCGAGCTCGAATATTTTTTGCATTATCAAGCTCGAGCTCGATGCTTGTTTATGGGTTAGAATTTCCCATTGATTAATTCGTTTATCGGCTCGAGCTTGATAATTTTTATATTTTTATTGTATGATTAATAAATATATGAACATGGTGCATACTTTAAAAGCTTTTCTCAATTCAACTTGAGAAATGAAATCGAGCTTTCAAACAAGTCGAATCGAATGTTAGTGTTATAAAGCTCGAGATCGAATAGCTTGGTAAAAGCTCAAATCATTCCAGATGAAAGCACCATCTCTAAGGATTTTGTCTTCGATAAGCTTCTTTAATTTATTGGCCAAGAAGTGCATCAGTGTCTAGTAGCCACTATTAGGTTGTAATCCTCCTTTGTATTTACCTATATATATATATATATATATATATATATGAGGCAAATCAAATGAGAATTAATTAGTTTGTAGTAACCGTGAGATCCAATCTCAAACATAAATCAATAGACAAATTAAGAAATTTATAATTTTGGTAATTTTGAATTAAAATTTTAATGCAAGGACATTTTAGGTGTTTTAAAACTCTCCTCTCTCCGTCCTCCGTCCTTTAGCCACCATCCTCGATGATATCACAGTGGTATCACAATGCATCTTATATGTGCTTGGGTATCACACTGAGGTCGTTTGTGTGGTCAATCGGAGATGTAACACAGTGGTATCACAATGCATGTTATATGTGTTTGGGTATCACACTGTGTCTTTTGTTTAACATAGTCAATATTTTTAGGTATCACAGTGGTATCACCGGGGGACGGGGGACGGAAAGAGAAGAGAAGAGAGAAAATACCTATAATGTTCTTGCATTAAAATTTATTAAAAATTACATAAATTATAAATTTCATAATTTATTTATTGATTTGTGGTTGAGATTGGATCTCACGGTTACCCAAACTAGTTAGTTCTCCCTTGAATGAGCCTATATATAACTCCAAAATATATGAGATCCTTGAGATCTATCCGAAGCCACATATTTAAGATAATTCATGATATTAGTCAATGACATAATTATCCTTCAAAATCAATGCATTTTAAAGTAAATTTCCGTACTTATCTATTTCTCTTTCCTATTTCTGTATTAACATACATATCGTGCATACAAGATGGACATATTGTGAACACCATGTAAAAAACCTTAATAATTTTTTTACTAGGGTGTTCACGAATGATATATTTAAATTTAGTTTATTGATTTAGTTTGTGTTCATAGTATGTTCACAATCTATATCAAATCTCTTAGATTTATAGTGTGTTCACAATGCATTCACAAACCATAAAAGTATTTCTAAGAAAGTGGTCCCAATGTATTCACCTTGATTTCATATTCAATTGTGTGTCTATGTGTAGTTATGGAGAAAAAAGAGAGGATAGAGAAAATAGGTGAGAGAATGAAGAAAAATAAGGAAGAGGAGAGAGAAGAAAAAGATTTATAATTTGTTTTTGATTTTTAATTAATTTTTTATGGTTTAAATTGAATCTCACATATCTCAGAAATTAACAAGTTATTAAAAGAAACTCTATATATATGTATACATATATATATATATATATATATATATATATATAGAGAGAGAGAGAGAGAGAGAGAGAGGAGTATAAAGGTCTTGGAAAAACATCAACAACCCGACAAGTGCATGCATCAGAAATGCATTCGAGAGTATTTTCATTGACTAATATTTTAATGAAGGAAGTCATCATGTCTTCGTCCGCCCAATCGTACTTCTCGAAAAGCTCCCTCTTCTCGCGACGAGATTGTCGAAGTTCTTGCTCAAGGTCATGAATCTCGAGCAACAGACGCATGTGATGACGAATAAGGATCTTGATGTACAAACATTGGGCATGTTGCTTTAGCACCTTTGCTGAAAAGCGAGGAAGAAAGAGCGTCGAACATAGTGAATGGATGAGATGATAAAATGGATGCTTAACAAAGAAAAATTCTAAAATGAGGGATAATAATCAATATATAGAGATTTACATGGGGAAGGGAGTAGCCGGCAGTTTAATAACTATCCTTGGACAACCTACTAAAAGGAGGCAAATAATTTTATTTCATATCATTAGTGGGATTCTTAAATATTAAGGAAATTAATATTTTCATTTATTTAATAGAAGAATAATGGATTTAAAAAATATATATAATTTCTATAAAAAAAAATCCAAAATCTATAAACATACCTAATATTATAAAATAATAAATGAAAATATCATAATGGAAATCCCACAATAATAATAATAATAATAATAATAATAATAATAATAATAATAAATACTTTTCCCAGCAGCTACCATTAAAAGAAATAGTAAAAGAATTCATAAATAATTTAAAATTGTTTATTATTATTTATGCTAAAAAATAAACACCCAATTTTTCCCAATCAACGCTCTGGATAATTGTGAGAATCATGCCTAGCAAGCAAGCTACTTAAAATTCTTACACCGCCTTTTCAACTTCTTCGCATTTGTCACGTTGGGAATTCTGGTGTTAAGGCCCAATAGCCTATAGTCTCTCAAATGGGTAAGAAGCCCATAATATGGAAAGTGTACACGAGGAGTGAGAAGGTAGCAGGTCGTTAGTGAAGGGAATAAAATAGTGTTGTTGAGAGAATAAGAAGGCATTCAGTTATTTTTGTCAATTCTGTTTTAGGAGAGAATTCTCTAGAGAAGAGTCCCTGGCTTTGGTTATTTTTCCCGGTTGATGTAGAGCTTAGGCTCATTTTCCTTTCAAATCATCCAGTCATCTCTTTCATTTTCTCTGATTCTAACAATTGGTTCGACCTGTCGGATATTCGAGGGGGATTAGTGTTTGTGAGAATACCACCAAAACCGGCCAATATGGGTGATCCTGTGGAGGCGTTATAAGGTGCAATGGCGATGATAGAAGAAGTATGCAATGATCGTTGACCGAAATTAGAGAGACGTTAATAGCAGATTTAGCCAAGCTGCTAGAACGACAATCACAAGAGCCACCACCTGTTGTTACCAGGGTGGATGATCGATTGACGGAATCTCGTATGGCTATTAAGAAGGTTGAACTTTCCATGTTTGGTGGGAATGACCCAGTAGGGTGGATTACCCGAGCAGAGATCTACTTTGAAGCACAAAATACCCCGGAAGATAATAAGGTGAAACTAGCAAAATTGAGTATGGATGGAGCGACGATTCATTGGTTCAATCTCTTGAGTGAAATGGTGGAGAATCTCACATGGAAGAAATTCAAATAGAGCTTGATTGAACGATATGGATAGAGACAAATCGATAATCCCTTTGAAGAATTGAAAGACCTCACGCAAAGGGGATCGGTGGATGAATTTGTCACAAAGTTCGAATACAAATCCTGAACGGCCCAATATACCTTAGACTGGGTTTACCTCTTTTTCTAAATCGTACAATACACTTCCATGGAGAAACTTTCAATATCATGAAATCTCCTACCAGGAATTCAATCGGTTTTCGGCAAGATAATTGACAATATTGCATACCATGAAATTTCATTTTGAAAATTGTACTGAATTGCCAAAATATACTCATCAAAAAAATTTTATTTTATCTCATGATTTCCCTCATTTGAAATTTTGCTTTCAATCCTTGAGTGGTGAT